TTTTCTTTTTTTCACACTAAGACTATTTGTTCCTTTTATAATAATGTACACTAACTTTATATTAGCATTTGATTAAAAAGTATTTTACAAGTCTTAATTGTGTTGAACTTTTTTATCATTAGGTTTTATGTATATTTCTAAAAAGAAGTGCACAGCTAAATAATTTTAATCTGAAAGTTTTTTAAACTTTGAAAATTGTTGGATTTATTTTTGCAGTATTTTATTGTGCTTTTTTCATCATAGTTTGTTTTTTTTTTTTTTTTTTTTAGCTTGCTTTCTTCTTTTCTTGTCTTCTGCAGGACTGATTATTTTCATTCGCTTATTCCTACTGATTGCAAAATGACATTTATATCCACATGTGTGGCAATTATTCTTAAACCATTATCACAAAATCTCCATTTGAAATGTAAAATTAGTTAACAATTTTGGTTCCCATTTGTAAAATAAATATGCATAAAACACTTTAATTATAGCACTTCTATCTTACCTTATTTCATCTATGATTTTACTTTTGACCTAGTTTTTTTTTAATTCTCCCCAAATTATTATTATGGTGGTAGCTATTTTAAACATTCAGTGCTTTGCTGGTTTGCTGATTTATATGATTCACTCATTCTTTGCTCACTTGCGCTTGTTGTAATCTACTTTTTCCACTGATATCAATTTTCTTGTTTCTCAAGATTAGACCTTTTATAGTTCTTTCAGTGAAATATCACAGTCTTCAATACCTTTACTTCACCTTTTCCCTATTATGATCCTTTATTCTTGTATATAATTCCAGATTGTCTATTTTTTGTTAGCACTACAAAGACATAATGTCCTTCTTTTTCTGTCCTCCATTGTATACTCTGTCAATGTAATTCTGGTTTCTTTGTAAGAGGTCTGTCTTTTCTCATTAATTGCTGTAATACTTTTTAATCTTTGGCTATGGTGTTTTGCAATTTCACCTCAATGAGTCTGGGTATTTGCTTTTATTAATTCTGCCCATTTAAGAAAATATAAATCCTGGGATATTTATAGTCATGTTCTCTTTGAATGTTGCCTCGCAGTAATTCTCTATATTCTCTTGTAATGAAACTCCTCTAAATACATGTTGATTCTCATTGTAGCCTAGATGTTCCCTTAACCTGTCTTTTCTTTCTCCTATTCTTTTGTTTCATTCTAGGTCATTTAATCAATCACCAAGTTCCTTGGTCATTATTTAGTTGTAACTAAATAGTTGTTTAATAGATTAATTTGATTTATAATTTAAATTATGAGTATTTTCTTTTTATTAATTGTACTTTTGGTTCTGGGGTACATGTGCAGATCATGCAGGATTGTTGCATAGGTATACACATGGCAATGTGGTTTGCTGCCTCCATCCCCCAGTCACCTACGTCTGGCATTTCTCCCCATGTCATCCTTCCCTGACCTCCCCAGGCCCCTGCTGTCCCTCCTTTGGTCCCCCCAACAGACCCCAGTGTGTGATGCTCCCCTCCCTAAGTGTCCATGTATTCTTATTGTTCAACATCAGCCTATGAGTGTGAACATGCGATGTTTGATTTCCTGGTCTTCTGTCAGTTTGCTGAGAATGATGGTTTCCAGATTCATACGTGTCCCTACAAAGGACACGAACTCATCCTTTTTTATGGCTGCATAGTATTCCATGGTGTATATGTGCCACATTTTCCTTGTCCAGTCTATCGTCGATGGGCATTTGGGTTGGTTCCAGGTCTTTGCTATTGTAAACAGTGCGGCGATGAACATACGTGTGCATGTGTCTTTATAATAGAACGATTTATAACCCTTTGGGTATATACCCAGTAATGGGATTACTCATTTTCTAAATCTATTTTATATTTATTCAGTCCTAGATCATTTCATTTGATTTTATTTCTTAACATCTTAATCATTATAAATATACTAATTTTATTTTATGCATAAGACTGTAATCATTTTATTATCTATTTATAAACATACAACTGATGATATTTTAGATATTTTATGGTTTGTATTGTGACATTCTTTTACACAGGTTCATCTTTTCATTGGAAACACATGTAGTCTGTGTTGTAGGAATATCCCTCAAGAATTGTTTCATGTTTGTTTCTAGCAGGATCTCAGTAGCATCACCAGCCAGGGACTAATTTTTATTAACTTTTTCTTATTTATCAGCTGTGTGCATAACAGAAATTCAGACATTAAACTGATTTTTGATTTCTAATCACTTAGTGAGAGATGCATATTCCTCCCCCATTTATTTAGAGGAAAGTCTCTATCTTCCCTGTTCCACAGGGTATATTTTGTCTAATTTGAGAATGAAGCCATTCATGGGTCTCAACTTTATAAAGGAAAATCATTATTAAATACCTACTTTGAAAGGGTCAGTGACATACCTCTGTTTTTCAAGTGAGGTGAAATTGAAGCTACTTTTTCTCTGGGGACAATGTCTTTCAAAGGCCCCAACTTCATGAGGAGATTTCACTACCAAATGCCTAGCTTGTAAGGAACTAATGCTTTACTTCTGTCCTTCAAGTGAGGTGAAATAAAAGTGTAGCTTACTAGGTATTAGCTGATTTCTCTATTCAAGCTCTCCTCGAGAATAACCACAGATTCAACACATACTTATACTTTTGCTCTTAGCATCTGGAGGTTTTTCTTTTTTGTTGAAAGTTAAGCTATACTTTAGAGAAATTGTTTTTTTGGTTTGTTTTGCTTTTACATTTACATGACAATTATAGTTGCCTATTTATCTTGGTCTGCCATGCTGTTAGAATCCTCAATGTTCTTTGAAATTTTTCTGTACTTCAACATTCATGAGGGTTATGCTCCTATCCATAATTATTATTGGTTATAAATTGCATCGATTCAAGAAACATATATTTACAAAGACCCTCTCGATCTTTGATGGGCTCGTGATTCACCTGGTGAATCTCATTACAATGCAGATTTTGATTCAGGAAGTAAATCAGATGATGCCAAGCTACTGCAGGCCTCATGGCTCACAGTAGGGCCACAAGGCCCAAGGAGGTTCTGATATGCGTTCTTTAAAGACACACCTTCACACAAAATGCCTGCCAGTTCCAGGTCACTGTTTAAGGAAATATATGTATGGGTACACTCAGTGTTGATGACCAGATCAGAACACGAAAATGTTAGTGTATTTCTTTAATAATACCATCTAGTTTACTGCTTAAGTTTTTGATGTTGTTTCTTGTTATCTATGTTTTTATAGTCTCACTTCTAAACTTAAAAAGAGATTTATGAACATTGACTATTTAACTTATTTGCTGTGTGCCTCACTTTTCTAAAATTCTGTAAGTAGATTATTTAATTTTAGAGATAATTTTTATATTTTCTCCATCCTTAGCTTTGCCTACTTGGGGAAGATCACATAGAAGACATTCAATACATATTGCTGATGACCAAAAGTGAGCTAATGTACATTATCCACAGATAGATTCACTGCCCTTGGCTTTTTTTCCCTACAGTTTTACAAAAAAAGAATTGCTTACCATCAGAGGACTATTGCCTGTCCATTACCAATGCTGGGCACTTAAAAAATGAGGCACAGTCTGGAAAGGAGACACTGTGGGAAGTGAGTCTGCTGTCTTCAAGGATTGTTTGTCTTGCATTCCTCAAGGTGAACATCATTGCCTAGAGGGGAGCATAATAAATTGCTTCCTAGCTGTAATGTTGTTTAAGGACATAGTTTCTGAGTCTACTGGCTTCAACACTCTCTAACCTGGTTGGGAAGGAGACCTCAAAGGGGATTCCAATGGAGCACTCTTTATCCTGTATATATCCTAACATAGAATACTGATGGTTCTATGAAAAGGAAAAGGGCAGAAATAGATTTGGTACACAGAACTAAATGTGTGCACCCATGAATCATGTTTGTGTCCACCTCCAAAGAAGTACTTGAATAGTTTCTCTCACCTTTTTGTCACTTCATCTCTGAGCTCCATATATAGTACTGGAATAATTTTCAAAGGTTCTTTTCTCTTTGTGCGTGTGTATGTGTGTGTACTCTATAGGTAAACAATATGTACACATACATTTTTAAGAAATAGTTATTCCTTCACTACAAATTGAGTTCAGTGGTGAAGTGATGAAACAGTGAAAGAAACTATTCAAATACTGCTTTATACACAAACAGTACACACACACATACACACACATGTATCTATCTATCTATGTTCTATTTATCCCTCTATCAAGGGAGGAGTTTAAAGAAATTAAAATATCTGGCCCTCATTCTGTTTCTTCCTTCATTTTTATTCTTGCACATTTTGATAATTATGAGAAAGTATTTTAGATTATACATACACACACAAATCCATAAAACACCCTGGAAAAAACCATCTAATTAGAACAATTTATTGCCACATGCTACAAAAGCCAGGATGGAATGTAACTAACAAACAAAGTGAGTAATCAGAAAGGCTGCACCGGGGTTCTCAAATGCCCAGTGTACCATAGTTGTATCAAAAAAGTATAAAGTCTGAGCATCTAAGAGGAGCTCTCTCAACTGCATATTCTGTGTGCCCAGTAGCTCCCCATACTGTGTTTCTATTGTCTATGTCTAATTTCAGTGATATCTTAAGGTAACTTCAATAAGCCTTCTTTACAGGAAGAAAATCTCAAGAGGATTTTATTCACCACAGAGGAACTCTAGACTATATTGGAGTTGCATTTCAACAGTGCAGAATGTACTTAAAGATGTCCACTCTCCAAATAACTTAGCCAGAAATGTGTTCATGTAATGCAGAGTTGGTTATTTCTTCTTACTCCAGTCACCATTTCAACTTTTTCTTACTTGTCACTCTCTCCCAGTGGAGATAGAGTTATGATCTGTAACTGACTATTCTAAAAAGAGACGAAAATCAAAAGAAAAGTTTAATCAGAATCTTGGCTGAACAAAGAATATTGGTTCCTGTAACCTTAGAATTAACCTATTGACCTTTATGGCTTTATTTTCACAGACAGCCAATCCTATGTGCCTGGAGACAAAAAGAAAATGGAGCACTGGAATATGAATGATCCCCACATCTCACATCAGTCAGTAGTTCCTACCAAAGCCTTTAACAGAAGAAAACCAAAGTGACTGATGGAATGTAATCTCCTCTTCCATCCCACCATGTGGTGGTAGATCTTGAGAGTGGAACTTACCACAGGTGGACAGGCCCAAGAACAAGAGATCAGAACGCACAGAGAGAAAAAAATGGCTGTCATGCTATCAAGAACAGACTCTACTTTGCATGCAGTGAAGTCTGAGGTCCTGGCATGGTTCAGTCTACAAGAGAACCCACTCAGCAGACAGCTCCATAAAAACAAACCCAGTAGACTGCGTGTTCCAGAGGGCAGGGATATGTCTGTTTTAATTTTACCTTCCAACCTGGTACATTGTCTGGCACATGTTAAATACTCAACATACACTCAATCCAGTTTCAAAGAAGGAAAGAAGAGAAGGAAGGAAAAAGAAATGAGACATTTATCAAGTTATACATTATATTTCGTAGCCTCTTATTGATGGATCAGCATGATAAACTCTGTTTTTAATTTCACAAAGCTGCTGGCATTTATCGAACATTATAGTATACTCTTGACTGATCCTTTATCACCATATGCCCTAGTCACCCATTGAGGTCTGAATTGGCAGTTACTCAGTGTGCCCTGAGTATAAGATTGTGACCACAGGAGCCAGCGTTCTCTGTAATTATGCTCCTGGGCTGTGAAATCTGTTCCCTGTTGAGATTAAGAGAGGAGCATCTGTTGCAGAAATTAGGTTAAATAAAGGAGGTACATATGACATCTTTAATCTTTACTATTGTGTTCATTTGATTTTCTCTAGCCACTGCATCACCACATGATAAAGTCGTGGTAATTACAATAATAAACAATACTTACATAATTTTGTCAAGTGCCAGACATTGTTTAATCCTTATATAAGCTCTATTAGAGGTACTATTATTGATTTTATTTTACAGATTTAAAAAACCTGAAGGATGGAGAGGTTAAGTAACTTCTCTGTGGTCACATAGATGGTATGCAACAAAACAAGATCACTTGAGACAAGGAGTTTGAGACCAGCCTGACTGATTTATAGCAAGACCCAATCTCTACAAAACGTTTTGTAAAAATTAGCCAAGTGTGGTTGCACATACCTGTAGTCCTGGCTACTCTGGAGGCAGAATTTTTACGGTCAGTTGAGTGCAGGACTTTGAGGCTGCAGTGAGTTATGGCTGTACCACTGCTCTCCAGCTTGAGTGACAGAGGGAGACACTGTCTTTAAAAAAGAAAAAAAAAGTATATCAATATACTTTGTGCATGTGTTGAATGTATAATATGTGTATTTTGAAATTAAATAGCACCATAAGTTTGAACAATGACTGATATTGTTGGACATTGTATTTTATGAGCAATATATGAGCAATTACAAAGCAACAACCAACTCCATGTATCAGGCACTTTGTTGTCTGTTTTATACATTACATCTTAATACATACAGGAGAGATTTCATTTTACAGAGTAGATCATCAATTTGTAAGGTATTCTCCCAAAGTATCATGGCATTGTCATGAGTTAAACCCAGGCTAATTCCAAAGCCATACTTTTAGAAAACAGGAATGTGAGATAGTATTTAGTCACATAATATTTAAAATCTAAGACTTGTTGTTAGGAATGTGAGTTGAGTGTTGACAAATTGCAATGTATTTTGGCACACATAGACTTCACGTCTAGTCTCAGATTTCTTCAACTCTTCATGCACGGTCTACAGTTGTCTGTATATATGTGGTAACAATACTACATGCACACACACATGCACACACACATACACACCCATACACATGCACAATCAGGTGAAATCAATCCCAAAAAAATGACAGAATATAAGCCCTGAAAGGAATAGAAAATGAGAGCCTTTAGAAAATGATCATTGAGTGTCATCTACTGGGAGTGCCTCTTCTGCGTATCACCATTTGTCTTTACCTTTTTCAAAACTGCATCTTGGCTAAAGAAGACGTATTTGATAGTCTGAGGAAAGAGGTTCCAGAATGCCATACACTCTGGCCAGGTGTTGTTCAGAAACATCTAGACTGATGATGTTGAGTCTGGTTCAATAAGCAGGAAATCTCACTGTGTATAAATATTCTCTTAAATGTAGATTCAGGGGTTGTTAGTTGAAGTTCTTCTGAAATGATGATATGGGATGATGTATAAAGAGACATCAGGCTTGATGAAGTATACACTACATAGACAGTTTCATTGCCGCTTGGGTGTCCCCAGCAAAAGGGGACAGGCAACAGAATCTAGGCTGAGATATACAGCATCTACATCTCTCTGGACTCCACTCACTGCCAAGCTTTTAATTTTTTCACTTTTTATTTTTTATTAAAATTTTTTAATTAGCTTTTATTATTTCTATTATTTTTAACTTTTCATTAGTTAATTCAGAACTTAATTTACTGTTCAAGAGAGTGTGTGTATACAGTTCGTTTCAGCCACCACAGACTTTCGAATAGAAGAAACAAAAATTTCAAAGGCCTTGAGGGGTGGGAGTATTTGGCTAGCTTGAGAAATAGAAAGAGATTTTGTGGCTGGGGTGGTTGAGCAAATAGAAGAATTCAAACGAAGAGTGTAGACAGGAAAAAACTAAACAAGAAGGCTCTTAGTACACAAAGTTAGCTTGTGTACATCAAGCTAACTTTTCTACGTTCTTGATAAAGCAGACTTTGGCTCCATGAAGATCTTTCACCAGGAAGAGGAGTCCCAGTCACCCAGCCTCACCGTGTCACAGGGATGTTACAGGGGAATGCAGGTCTTATTAAGAGGTCTCCTTGATTTTTAGACAGGGAAACACAGAGAAAGGACACTAAATGGCTTTTCACTTGTGCCACCAGAAAGCTCAGCGCTGTAGCTCAGTGGGATGGAGAAACAATGGTTGAAGAGGAGTCCTGTGACCTGATTCTTTGTGGAGTCAAGAAGATACCAAGATGAGTCTAAAAGGTGGTTCCCAACTACTCAGGAGTTCCCAGACTTGGAAGAGAGAAACACAGGGGCCAAAAGTCTCAATCCTAGGAATGAGAGTGATGACAGAGAAGGATCAGAGGAGGGGAGCCAGTGAGAATCCTCAGAGTGGAGGTAGGTGCTTCCTGGTAAAGATGACATTTGAATTGTATCTTTGCTTTTGTGTCTTAATCTGTGTAGTGTTTTCTACTACCAGGACGTGGTAACTGGTACACAGAAGAACACTGTGGACATGAAACCTACAAAAATTAGAGGGATTGAGCTTGTTTTGTTTGTTTCAATTGCTTTATTGAAATGTAATTGACGTGATAAACTGAATACATTTAAACAGTAAAATTTTATGAATTTGTTATATGGATATACCTGTAAAACCATCACCAAAATCAAGATAATGCACATATTTATCACCCACAAAAATCTCACGTGCCCCTCTGTATCCCTTCCTCTCTCTTCTCCCATCCTCTCATCCCCCCATCCCCAGGCAATCACCAATCAGCTTCCTGTAACTACAGATTACATTTTCTACAAGTGTGTATACATAAAAAGTTTTTATTTTGGTCTGATATCTTTTATTCAGCAAAATTGTCATCCATTGTGCAGTACATATTGGCGGTTCATTCCTTTTAAACACTGTGCAGTATTCAGTTGACTAGGTATGCCACATTTACTTATCTGTTCATCTGTTGATGGACATTTGTGTGATATCTAACTTTTCATTATTACTCTCATGTATACTCTTCTAGCTCCTGATGGTATATATTGGCTAGGTCCTACAGTTTATTGTTTTTTAGCAGGTCTAGCACTTCTCTAGTCAGGTTATGCTTTGACTTCATCCTAGCTACTTGTCTAAAGCTAGAATGTTAGGTAGGATATATCCTGGTTGGCCCATGTTAATTTGCAAGCTTCACATTACTCCGTTACCTCCAAGCAAGGAAAAATTGGTCATTTTTGCAAGTTCAGAGGTTGGGGACTATCTGAGGCTTTAAGGTTTTTGAGTACATCAAACACGACATTTTCATCTTAAGATCCTACCCCTTTCCAATCCAGACCTTGACCTGGGCATAGCAGATTTGCTGATACTGCAAATCAACATTCCCTGAAGTTTTACCTTTATAATTGAATCCTAATTCTCAGCTTTTTTCTACCCTCAGGCTTCAGTAGATAAGAATCTCTTAATAGGCTGCCAGGAGTCCCTTCCACTTTCACACTTTGCCTTGAATTGGTGATTAATCATCCTCACCCTTTCATTGTCTTTCTCCCGTGCTTGGATAGTATTAAGTAGCATTCCTGGGTTCTCATTGTCCTTATAATGACTACTACCCTAGAATCTCTCAAATGCCTGAGACAGTGCACATGTCAATAGATTCTTTTTATCAGCATCCCAATCCAGTTTATCACTGGTAAAAGTTTTGACAATTTCACCACTGTAGCATACCAAAGATTATAATAGCTTTACTCACTACTAATAATTGTGGCCCATTGCCAATGAAACTGTGGCCAATCCAGCCTCCAACTTCCATTTTCGAATTTATTCTTAGGACCACACCTGTCTGTCACAAATTGTCTTGGGTCACATTACCCAGAAAACAGATTTTGAGATGTAGATACATATACTGGAAGTTTCTTGGGTAATGATCTTTGGAACAATAGCTGTGAGACAAGGAGGGAGGCATGACTGAGCAGAGGAAAACATTGAACCGAGATCCATTCACAACTAAAAAGCTAAACCGCTCACAATGGAGGTTTGAAGTTTAAAGGGCCCTTTATAATTTTCCCAAATTGAGCCAACGTGGATAGATTTTGGTATCCCGTCTTGACAAGTCATTGAACTCAGGCTGCTCTTGGGAAGGGGGAGCATAACCCTGAGCAAGGCAGCTCCGTTTTGCCAAGGTGAGTCCCCAGGAAATTACTCAATAGTGAGTTATCAACAATTGTCACTTCTGCTAGTTGAAGAAATGGGTCCAGAAAGGGGGATCTGAGTGACGCATAGCATGCATTTTCTTTAACTAGTAGATGGTGGAAACAGGCATTAAAACTAAATTATCTCATTTTGTTTTTAATCACTGCCTCCTGCATCTTTGATGCATCTTGCTTCCATTTCACCCTAACTTCCATAGTTAGGACCTTCATTATGTCTTTCCTGGAATATTATGATATAATAAATAGTAAGTGAATCAGTGAATCAATGTGATTTTCTTTCTCTCTTATCTAAGTACACTATGTGTTCCATGAAATTTTTATGTAAATATAATCAGTTTCACAGCATTCAAATACATTGTCCTTCCAAATATCTTTCTAAAGGCTTGATTCTATATAATGATAATTTAACCTTTTCTGTGTTCAGTTTTTCTTTTCCTTTCAGCTGCTGCTGGCCTTTAGAATACATATATAAGTTAATAGAGCAAGTGAAATAGTCAACAGGTAAATTAGATAGTAAGAATGAGGTCAAAAAGAGAAAACTGCTTATTGCTAATGCCAGCCATATCACTGCAAATCTTAAATACCACCACACTTGTAAAATCAGTAAAGCAGACAAAAATGCATTTTCCAAATGCATTTCACCTTCCAAAGATAACCACAATTTTTCTCTTAGCATATTTTCTTCTGGTCTTTACATGTACTCACCTATACATATCTTTATAAAATGTGAATCATACTATGTGTAAAGTTCTACATACTGCAGTTTTACCTACCACTTTGTCATGGTCATTTCCTCGTAACTTTCCGAACATGAATTTTGATGAACTCATAATTTTCGTTTGTGGAGTTTGTATAATAACATTTTGATTTTCTAAGCTCAAGAAGGCAAATTATATTGAGAATGAGATGGCTATCTAATATCTACTAGGATAACTCAAGTGTGTCAATTATTACCTGCAATATTGAGACTTGAAAGGAAAAAAGAAATGTTGAATCTAAACACACATATCTTAAGGTTTTTCTCTCCCCACAGAAGGAATTTATTGGTTAGCATTTTCTTGATCTTAAATAGTGAAGAAGATTTTAGCAAGTTACTAAAGGTCTTAAATTAAGGATTGATTGATTAATATTCCTATATAACTTTCCCCATCTCGTTTCATCAATATAGCACTTTAGGCCTTTTCTTTCTTGTATCATTATGCACTGACCTTTCCATTGTTAATGCGTCTATTCTATGCCTGAGTAGAGAGAATTTTTTCTCTCTTTTCAGAGATTAGCTGCAAAGAAAATTTATGTGACATTCAAAAGAATTATTTTCAACCTACCCTTTCAAATGCCTCTCTGACATCTAATGATGTAATTGAGCTACATTAATTTTAGGGAGCATCTATATTTGCGTAATAAAAAATTATTTTAATGTACTTCAAAATTAATGCAATATTTTTTGCAAAGAATACTAAACCACATTTAATTTCATTACTCTGTTAATACAATATAACTTTGCATTTCACATTTGTTGTAAAACTCTAGTCAATGTCAATACTGTAAATTTTAGTCCTTCTATTCTGTCACCAATATGCGCATTTGCTCACTAAGAGCCATTTGTTGATGTTCAGAGCACCTAACACCACCAAGAATATTTTAAAATAGATTATGTAAAAATAACATTCTCTAAGCCCAAGTTTCTCAGTATCTGTTGGTATAAATGTAACTACTTCTTTAAGATAACGAAGAGAATTATGTGAAACAGGGATTTTTTTTTTTTTTTTACCATAAGTTAGAATAAGACTAGGATTAAAAATTATGTTGCTTTACTGGTAGTACTTCTTGGAGCCACTAAAGGAATAATAGAATAAGAATACAGAAGAATAGGAATGATTCACTTTGAATCTGGAAGCAGTACTTCCTCTTTTCCAGCCATTTACTGAAGTATCTTTTCTTGTATCATCAGACTGATCATTCTGGAATATACTGGTGTAGGTACATCTTTACTATTTCAGACATTTCCATTTGTCAGTTTTCTGTTTGATTTTATGGATCCCAACTGACATGGTAAGACTTGTATGTGTTATAAGAGAAAAAAGTAGACCAAGACAGACTAAAACTGTACAGTCCAAATGTGTATCAGGGGAGAACTTTGGCTAAGTGTCCAAAAATGGCTGAGTCACATGCCTCTCTATCCCACAGGTCAAATCACATGTTTCTACCCAAACCTACTTTGAGACAGTTTCCATTTTAGAACAACTTAAGAAGTTTTTCTCTCCTTTGAAAGATTGACCTACAACGTTGTATTGTGAATCTATTTCTTGCTACTTTTTTACTACAATTCCAAGCCCAGCCACCACCATCATTCTCTAAGTACCATGATAATAGTCTTTTAGTAGGTCACTGGACTACCAACATTGCTGTCTAGAATCAATTCTTGACATGGCAGCTGGTGTTCTTTGCTTAAATATAAATCAGATTTAGTCTGATCCTCTCATGTCTTAGAGAAAAAAGCAAAACCTTTATCATAATGTAGAAATGTATGTGTAATCAGCCCTTGCTCTCCCCCAACCTTATCTACTACAAACATTCCTTCTCAGACTTACTTCTTCACTATTCTTCAGTTATGCCAAGCATGCTCCTATCTCTGTCTTTGCACTTGGGTATCTCTCTTCCTGCAAGGTTCTCTCTGCAAATAGCTGCACTGCTTTTTCACATACTTCTTTAGAGACTAAATTAGTGAATAAATAACTTTAAAAAATTATACAGTTGTTATTTCCCATGAGGGAAGTTGACCTATGTGTTGGAGTTGACAGGACCCACCTGTTTGTCTTTAACACTGTGTAATTTTACAAATTTAAAAGTAAGAACCCCACCTACCACCCCAAAAAATTCCAAAAGGTTATTCTCATTTGAATATAAAAAATATTTAGGACAACCAAATTAAAGAGAAAAAAACCTAAATATTCTGTTCTTCATTTGGTATTTTATATATATATATATATATACATATATACATCCTACAAACAAGTTTTTTTTTTCTTAAATGTAATGCTTAAATCATGATATATACAACCTGATAGGCTGAGAGACACATATAAACATTCTACTATTTTTCTTTTGATTCTGATAATTCACTCTATTAAGCCTAGAAATGATTCTGGAAATCATCTATAACAACCTCTCCATTTTCAAAGTAGACTGAGATA